CGTGTGTGTGTCTGTGTGTAATGTTGTGTAAACGTGTGTGTGTCTGTGTGTGTAATGTGTAAACGTGTGTCTGTGTGTGTAATGTTGTGTAAACGTGTGTGTGTGTGTGTCTGTGTGTGTAATGTTGTGTAAACGTGTGAGTGTCTGTGTGTAATGTTGTGTAAACGTGTGTGTGTCTGTGTGTAATGTTGTGTAAACGTGTGTGTGTCTGTGTGTGTAATGTTATGTAAACGTGTGTGTGTGTCTGTGTGTGTAATGTTGTGTAAACGTGTGTGTGTGTGTAATGTTGTGTAAACGTGTGTGTGTGTCTGTGTGTGTAATGTTGTGTAAACGTGTGTCTGTGTGTGTGTAATGTTGTGTAAACGTGTGTGTGTCTGTGTGTGTAATGTTGTGTAAACGTGTGTGTGTCTGTGTGTGTAATGTTGTGTAAACGTGTGTCTGTGTGTGTAATGTTGTGTAAACGTGTGTGTGTGTGTGTAATGTTGTGTAAACGTGTGTGTGTGTCTGTGTGTGTAATGTTGTGTAAACGTGTGTGTGTGTCTGGGTGTGTAATGTTGTGTAAACGTGTGTGTGAGTGTCTGTGTGTAATGTTGTGTAAACGTGTGTGTGTAATGTTGTGTAAACGTGTGTGTGTCTGTGTGTGTAATGTTGTGTAAACGTGTGTGTGAATGTCTGTGTGTGTAATGTTGTGTAAACGTGTGTGTGAGTGTCTGTGTGTGTAATGTTGTGTAAACGTGTGTGTGTAATGTTGTGTAAACGTGTGTGTGTCTGGGTGTGTAATGTGTAAACGTGTGTGTGTCTGGGTATGTAATGTTGTGTAAACGTGTGTGTGTGTGTCTGTGTGTGTAATGTTGTGTAAACATGTGTGTGTCTGTGTGTGTAATGTTGTGTAAACGTGTGTGTGTCTGTGTGTGTAATGTTGTGTAAACGTGTGATTGTCTGTGTGTAATGTTGTGTAAACGTGTGTGTGTCTGTGTGTGTAATGTTGTGTAAACGTGTGTGTGTCTGTGTGTGTAATGTTGTGTAAACGTGTGTGTGTCTGTGTGTGTAATGTTGTGTAAACGTGTGTGTGTCTGTGTGTAATGTTGTGTAAACGTGTGTGTGTCTGTGTGTGTGTAATGTGTAAAACGTGTGTCTGTGTGTGTAATGTTGTGTAAACGTGTGTGTGTGTGTGTCTGTGTGTGTAATGTTGTGTAAACATGTGAGTGTCTGTGTGTAATGTTGTGTAAACGTGTGTGTGTCTGTGTGTAATGTTGTGTAAACGTGTGTGTGTCTGTGTGTGTAATGTTGTGTAAACGTGTGTGTGTGTCTGTGTGTGTAATGTTGTGTAAACGTGTGTGTGTGTGTAATGTTGTGTAAACGTGTGTGTGTCTGTGTGTGTAATGTTGTGTAAACGTGTGTCTGTGTGTGTGTAATGTTGTGTAAACGTGTGTGTGTCTGTGTGTGTAATGTTGTGTAAACGTGTGTGTGTCTGTGTGTGTAATGTTGTGTAAACGTGTGTCTGTGTGTGTAATGTTGTGTAAACGTGTGTGTGTGTCTGGGTGTGTAATGTTGTGTAAACGTGTGTGTGAGTGTCTGTGTGTAATGTTGTGTAAACGTGTGTGTGTAATGTTGTGTAAACGTGTGTGTGTCTGTGTGTGTAATGTTGTGTAAACGTGTGTGTGAATGTCTGTGTGTGTAATGTTGTGTAAACGTGTGTGTGAGTGTCTGTGTGTGTAATGTTGTGTAAACGTGTGTGTGTAATGTTGTGTAAACGTGTGTGTGTCTGGGTGTGTAATGTGTAAACGTGTGTGTGTCTGGGTATGTAATGTTGTGTAAACGTGTGTGTGTGTGTCTGTGTGTGTAATGTTGTGTAAACGTGTGAGTGTCTGTGTGTGTAATGTTGTGTAAACGTGTGTGTGTCTGTGTGTGTAATGTTGTGTAAACGTGTGAGTGTGTGTGTAATGTTGTGTAAACGTGTGTGTGTCTGTGTGTGTAATGTTGTGTAAACGTGTGTGTGTCTGTGTGTAATGTTGTGTAAACCTGTGTGTGTAATGTTGTGTAAACGTGTCTTTGTGTAATGTTGTGTAAACGTGTGAGTGTCTGTGTGTGTAATGTTGTGTAAACGTGTGTGTGTGTCTGTGTGTGTAATGTTGTGTAAACGTGTGTGTGTCTGTGTGTGTAATGTTGTGTAAACATGTGTGCGTAATGTTGTGTAAACGTGTGAGTGTCTGTGTGTGTAATGTGTAAACGTGTGTGTGTCTGTGTGTGTAATGTTGTGTAAACGTGTGTGTGTCTGTGTGTAATGTTGTGTAAACGTGTGTGTGTGTCTGTGTGTGTAATGTTGTGTAAACCTGTGTGTGTCTGTGTGTGTAATGTTGTGTAAACGTGTGAGTGTCTGTGTGTGTAATGTTGTGTAAACGTGTGTGTGTCTGTGTGTGTAATGTTGTGTAAACATGTGAGTGTCTGTGTGTAATGTTGTGTAAACGTGTGTGTGTCTGTGTGTGTAATGTTGTGTAAACGTGTGTGTGTCTGTGTGTGTAATGTTGTGTAAACGTGTGTGTGTCTGTGTGTGTAATGTTGTGTAAACGTGTGTGTGTCTGTGTTGTAGAATTCCTAAAGTGCACATTTCTTCCGATGAAGAAGGAAGTAAAGAAATTGAACTTTCAGATGATCCTTTCGACTGCATCAGACTCAGAGTCGACCATGTTCCCTGCATCGTCACTGTGTGCAAGGTACGGGCTCACAGGTACAGACGCACAGGTACAGACGCACAGGTACAGACGCACAGGTACACCCGCACAGGTACAGACGCACAGGTACAGGCGCACAGGTACAGACGCACAGGTACAGACGCACAGGTACAGGCGCACAGGTACAGACGCACAGGTACAGGCGCACAGGTACAGACGCACAGGTACAGGCGCACAGGTACAGACGCACAGGTACAGACGCACAGGTACAGACGCACAGGTACAGACGCACAGGTACAGGCGCACAGGTACAGACGCACAGGTACAGGCGCACAGGTACAGACGCACAGGTACAGACGCACAGGTACAGACGCACAGGTACAGACGCACAGGTACAGGCGCACAGGTACAGACGCACAGGTACAGGCGCACAGGTACAGACGCACAGGTACAGACGCACAGGTACAGGCGCACAGGTACAGACGCACAGGTACAGACGCACAGGTACAGACGCACAGGTACAGACGCACAGGACAGACGCACAGGTACAGGCGCACAGGTACAGGCGCACAGGTACAGACGCACAGGTACAGACGCACAGGTACAGACGCACAGGTACAGACGCACAGGTACAGACGCACAGGTACAGACGCACAGGTACAGACGCACAGGTACAGACGCACAGGTACAGGCGCACAGGTACAGGCGCACAGGTACAGACGCACAGGTACAGACGCACAGGTACAGGCGCACAGGTACAGGCGCACAGGTACAGGCGCACAGGTACAGACGCACAGGTACAGACGCACAGGTACAGACGCACAGGTACAGACGCACAGGTACAGGCGCACAGGTACAGACGCACAGGTACAGACGCACAGGTACAGACGCACAGGTACAGACGCACAGGTACAGGCGCACAGGTACAGGCGCACAGGTACAGACGCACAGGTACAGACGCACAGGTACAGACGCACAGGTACAGACGCACAGGTACAGGCGCACAGGTACAGGCGCACAGGTACAGACGCACAGGTACAGGCGCACAGGTACAGGCGCACAGGTACACAGTACAGACGCACAGGTACAGACGCACAGGTACAGGCGCACAGGTACAGGCGCACAGGTACAGGCGCACAGGTACAGGCGCACAGGTACAGGCGCACAGGTACAGACGCACAGGTACAGACGCACAGGTACAGGCGCACAGGTACAGACGCACAGGTACAGACGCACAGGTACAGACGCACAGGTACAGACGCACAGGTACAGGCGCACAGGTACAGGCGCACAGGTACAGGCGCACAGGTACAGGCGCACAGGTACAGGCGCACAGGTACAGGCGCACAGGTACAGACGCACAGGTACAGACGCACAGGTACAGACGCACAGGTACAGGCGCACAGGTACAGGCGCACAGGTACAGACGCACAGGTACAGACGCACAGGTACTGGTCTCGATGGTACTTACCGTCTGCGCTGGTCTCGATGGTACTTACCGTCTGCGCTGGTCTCGATGGTACTTACCGTCTGCGCTGGTCTCGATGGTACTTACCGTCTGCGCTGGTCTCGATGGTACTTACCGTCTGCGCTGGTCTCGATGGTACTTACCGTCTGCGCTGGTCTCGATGGTACTTACCGTCTGCGCTGGTCTCGATGGTACTTACCGTCTGCGCTGGTCTCGATGGTACTTACCGTCTGCGCTGGTCTCGATGGTACTTACGGTCTGCGCTGGTCTCGATGGTACTTACCGTCTGCGCTGGTCTCGATGGTACTTACCGTCTGCGCTGGTCTCGATGGTACTTACCGTCTGTGCTGGTCTCGATGGTACTTACCGTCTGCGCTGGTCTCGATGGTACTTACCGTCTGCGCTGGTCTCGATGGTACTTACCGTCTGCGCTGGTCTCGATGGTACTTACCGTCTGCGCTGGTCTCGATGGTACTTACCGTCTGCGCTGGTCTCGATGGTACTTACCGTCTGCGCTGGTCTCGATGGTACTTACCGTCTGCGCTGGTCTCGATGGTACTTACCGTCTGCGCTGGTCTCGATGGTACTTACCGTCTGCGCTGGTCTCGATGGTACTTACCGTCTGCGCTGGTCTCGATGGTACTTACCGTCTGCGCTGGTCTCGATGGTACTTACCGTCTGCGCTGGTCTCGATGGTACTTACCGTCTGCGCTGGTCTCGATGGTACTTACCGTCTGCGCTGGTCTCGATGGTACTTACCGTCTGTGCTGGTCTCGATCGTACTTACGGTCTGCGCTGGTCTCGATGGTACGTACCGTCTGCGCTGGTCTCGATGGTACTTACCGTCTGCGCTGGTCTCGATGGTACTTACCGTCTGTGCTGGTCTCGATGGTACTTACCGTCTGCGCTGGTCTCGATGGTACTTACCGTCTGTGCTGGTCTCGATGGTACTTACCGTCTGCGCTGGTCTCGATGGTACTTACCGTCTGCGCTGGTCTCGATGGTACTTACCGTCTGCGCTGGTCTCGATGGTACTTACCGTCTGTGCTGGTCTCGATGGTACTTACCGTCTGCGCTGGTCTCGATGGTACTTACCGTCTGCGCTGGTCTCGATGGTACTTACCGTCTGCGCTGGTCTCGATGGTACTTACCGTCTGCGCTGGTCTCGATGGTACTTACCGTCTGCGCTGGTCTCGATGGTACTTACCGTCTGTGCTGGTCTCGATCGTACTTACGGTCTGCGCTGGTCTCGATGGTACGTACCGTCTGCGCTGGTCTCGATGGTACTTACCGTCTGCGCTGGTCTCGATGGTACTTACCGTCTGCGCTGGTCTCGATGGTACTTACCGTCTGCGCTGGTCTCGATGGTACTTACCGTCTGTGCTGGTCTCGATGGTACTTACCGTCTGCGCTGGTCTCGATGGTACTTACCGTCTGCGCTGGTCTCGATGGTACTTACCGTCTGCGCTGGTCTCGATGGTACTTACCGTCTGTGCTGGTCTCGATGGTACTTACCGTCTGCGCTGGTCTCGATGGTACTTACCGTCTGCGCTGGTCTCGATGGTACTTACCGTCTGCGCTGGTCTCGATGGTACTTACCGTCTGCGCTGGTCTCGATGGTACTTACCGTCTGTGCTGGTCTCGATGGTACTTACGGTTTGCCGCTGCAGGTGGGACACAGACACGTGGTGGACGCCACGCTCCCGGAGAAGGCGTGCTCCGTGGCCAGCGTGCTGATGGCCGTGACACAGACGGGCGCCGTGACCTGCGTCAGGAAAGTGGGCGGAGGAAGTCTGGAGCCAGAGTCGGTGATGGAGATGACGGAGGTGAGTCTGAGACGCTGAGTCTGCAAAAGCACAAGTATCATTTCATCTTTTCCAAATGCTCGGTCTTCAGACGGGGAAGCGCGTCGGGAAAGCCCTCCACGCTCCGCTCATGGAGCTCCTGCAGCAGGAAGAGAAACTCGGCAAATCCAGACAGAAAGTGGGATTCCTCGGATAGAAACACAAACTGCACTTTTTATTTTTCTAAATAAATTCTTTAAAAACTGCATCAGTGTTTTTGATCATGTTTGTGTTTCTCTGCGATGATGATGATGATGATGATGATGATGATGAATATGAGCGATGATGATGAAGATGATGAATATGACGATGATGATGAAGATGATGAATATGACGATGATGATGACGAGAGTATACAGCAAGAGACACTTCTGCCTCTACTGTTCAATGTCCTGCCACAAAATGTCCCGTCATTTGACTAGAAAACATGGAAATGAAAGTGACGTAGCCAGAGCATTGGCTCTACCTGTGAAATCTAAAGCACGTAAACTTCAGTTTGATTTGATCAGGAATAGTGGAAACCGTGAGCACAATTTTGAGGTTTTAAAGGCCGGCATTGGAACTTTAGTCCCAGCTAAACAGCCAAATTCCCCAGTTAAATCCAGTGAGTTTTTGCACTGTATAGACTGTGGGGCATTGCTTAAGCGAAAGTCGCTGTGGAGGCATGTGGCCAGGTGCCGGCTTTCACAGAAAGATGCCCAGGCTAAACCAGGTAGAAGTAGGGTCCAGTCCCTCTGCTCCCTAGCCCAGCCTGTACCGGAGGGCATCAGCAAAAAGCTGTGGTCTTTAATTTCGGCAATGCATCAGGATGAGGTCACGGGTGTTGTCAAAGCAGAAAAGGGGATTCTGAGACTCGGAGAGCACCTGTACTTAAAACACGGGCATGATAAGACAAAGCATGATTACATTAGGCAGAAAATGAGAGAAGTCGGTAGGTTAATTAACGAAGCAAAAACCGCAGGGAAACTGAAAACAATTAAGGATTTCTTTATTCCTTCCAACTTTAACCATGTGATTGATGCAGTCAGGTCTGTGGCTGGATATGATGAGGAAACAAATCAATACAAGACTCCATCCTTGGCCCTCAAACTCGGCCATAGCCTCAGAAAGCTAGCAGATATTCTTGAATGTGACTCAAAAATGGAGCATTGTGTTGATGAACTATTTATTAAAAACCTCCAACGAAGCCGGCTGCTTTTTGAGAAGAGGTGGGACGTCTGTGTTTCTTCTGCTGCCCTACAGACCCTCCGGCAAGCCAAGTGGAACACTCCGGACCTGCTCCCTCTGACTGAGGACGTTAGAGCCATGCATGCACATATTGAGGTATGTCGACCTGAATATGTGCAAACCCTAATAAGTGAGCCAACGTCTAAGCATTGGTCTAAACTGGCAGTTTTGACTCTTTGTGAGGTCATCATTTTCAATCGAAGAAGGGAAGGTGAGGTTTCAAAGATGCCACTGACAGCCTTTACCTTAAGAAGTAAGACTGGGATCCATTCTGACATTGCTCTGGGACTGTCCCAACTTGAGAAAAAGCTGTGTCAGCATTTTCAACGCATTGAAATTAAAGGGAAAAGAAGTCGGAAAGTGCCGGTTCTTTTGACTCCTGAAATGATTGCTTCGATGGAGGTGCTGGTGGAGAACAGAAGGGCCTGTTCCATCTCTGACCATAACCCATACTTCTTTTCCCGCCCGGGCGCAGACACCCACATCAGGGGATCAGACTCCCTACGCCAGGTAGCCAAAGAATGTGGTGCGGTGCATCCAGAGATGCTATCCTCAACCAAACTTAGAAAGCACATAGCTACTATGTCTACAGTTCTCAATATGAAAGAGAATGAGATGGACATACTTGCCAACTTCCTCGGCCATGACATTCGCATCCACAGGCAATATTACAGACTACCAGAGGGGACACTGGAGCTGGCCAAAATCAGCAAAGTGTTGATGGCCATGGAGCAGGGAAGAGTGACGGAATTCGAAGGAAAGAGCCTCGACCAGATACAAATTGAGCCTGAAGGTAATTCTTGATATTATTAAAATATGTATGATTTTTTTCCCCTAAAGGCCACTTGTATTTTTATTTTCTGTGCGACAGGGAGAGCAGTAGAGATCCTCTCACAAACGGACGGGCTAAAAGAAACTTCAAGCGGAGAACCTTCAACCATTCATCCAGATGCACCCCATGGTAGATGACTCTGGAGGTGTGAGTGTGTGTGTGACTCTGGGTGGTGTGTGTGTGTATGACTCTGGGGGTGTGAGTGTGTGTATATGACTCTGGAGGTGTGAGTGTGTGTGTGACTCTGGTTGTGTGTGTGTGTGTGTATGACTCTGGGGGTGTGAGTATGTGTGTATGACTCTGGGGGTGTGAGTGTGTGTGTGACTCTGGGGGTGTGTGTGTGTGTGTGACTCTGGAGGTGTGTGTGTGTGTGTGTGACTCTGGAGGTGTGTGTGTGTGTGTATGACTCTGGAGGTGTGAGTGTGTGTGTGACTCTGGGTGTGTGTGTGTGTATGACTCTGGGGGTGTGAGTGTGTGTATATGACTCTGGAGGTGTGAGTGTGTGTGTATATGACTCTGGGGGTGTGTGAGTGTGTGTCTATGACTCTGGGGGTGTGAGTGTGTTTGTGACTCTGGGGGTGTGTGTGTGTGTGACTCTGGGGGTGTGTGAGTGTGTGTCTATGACTCTGGGGGTGTGTGTGTGTGTGTATATGACTCTGGGGGTGTGTGAGTGTGTGTCTATGACTCTGGGGGTGTGAGTGTGTTTGTGACTCTGGGGGTGTGTGTGTGTGTGACTCTGGGGGTGTGTGAGTGTGTGTCTATGACTCTGGGGGTGTGTGTGTGTGTGACTCTGGGGGTGTGTGTGTGTGTGTATATGACTCTGGGGGTGTGTGAGTGTGTGTGTGTGACTCTGGGGGTGTGAGTGTGTGTGGTGTGACTCTGGGTGTGTGTGTGTGTGTGTGTTTGTGTGACTCTGGGGGTGTGAGTGTGTGTGGTGTGACTCTGGGTGTGTGTGTTTGTGTGACTCTGGGGGTGTGAGTGTGTGTGTGTGTGACTCTGGGGGTGTGAGTGTGTGTGACTCTGGGGGTGTGAGTGTGTGTGACTCTGGGGGTGTGAGTGTGTGTGTGTGTATGATTCTGGGGGTGTGAGTGTGTGTGTATGATTCTGGGGGTGTGTGTGTGTGTGACTCTGGGGGTGTGTGTGTGTGTATGACTCTGGAGGTGTGTGTGTGTGACTCTGGAGGTGTGAGTGTGTGTGTGACTCTGGGTGTGTGCGTGTGTGTGTGACTCTGGGGGTGTGAGTGTGTGTGTGTGACTCTGGGGGTGAGAGTGAATATCTCACTCAGACCTGATGTGTGTGTTACAGGTCCTAATATCTCACTCAGACCTGATGTGTGTGTTGTAGGTCCTAATATTTCACTCAGACCTGATGTGTGTGTTGTAGGTCCTAATATTTCACTCAGACCTGATGTGTGTGTTGTAGGTCCTAATATCTCACTCAGACCTGATGTGTGTGTTGTAGGTCCTAATATTTCACTCAGACCTGATGTGTGTGTTGTAGGTCCTAATATCTCACTCAGACCTGATGTGTGTGTTGTAGGTCCTTATATCTCACTCAGACCTGATGTGTGTGTTGTAGGTCCTGATATCTCACTCAGACCTGATGTGTGTGTTGTAGGTCCTTATATCTCACTCAGACCTGATGTGTGTGTTGTAGGTCCTGATATCTCACTCAGACCTGATGTGTGTGTTGTAGGTCCTAATATCTCACTCAGACCTGATGTGTGTGTGTTGTAGGTCCTAATATCTCACTCAGACCTGATGTGTGTGTTGTAGGTCCTGATATCTCACTCAGACCTGATGTGTGTGTTGTAGGTCCTAATATCTCACTTAGGCTGCGGTCACATGGCACCTAAAGCCCGGTTAAAGCGTGCCAGGGCCCGCTTCGTGGTCTGATCCGGGCTTTAGGTGCCATGTGACCGCGGCAAACGGGCCCAGGCTCTATTAAAAACTGCGGCCAGGGCCCGTTTCCCAGCACGGATGAGGGGGGTCAGTGTGGCGGGTGGTGGGGAGTGGGGGGTGGTGGGGGGTTGATATCTTGCGTCACATTACACGTCTTCCTGTGACACGCATTTTCACACACGTCTCTCCTGCACTTTCTTATATTCTCCGCTTCTGTTAAACCTTTCATATAAGCCCCAGACCGAGGGGCACAGGGAGTGTGTGGCTGCAAGGCCAAAGAAAAGCGTTTCCTACGAGTATAACTCCCTCTGTCCTGACCCTCGCTCTCAGTGGTGCTATCGCAGTAACACTTCAGACATTAAAGAATCAGTCTTTATTTAATCACCAGAACACACACACACACACACACACACACACACACACACACACACACACACTTGTAACTTCCCTGCCTCCGATCGCTTTGCTCCACACTTTTCATTCTCATTCATTCATTTCTCAGCGCTCGCACGCTCGTTGCTGAAGTGTGTGTGTGTGTGCACTCGTGTCCGCGGCGCGCACACACACACGTGCACACACACACGTGCACACCAGGGACGTGCGGTGAGGTTTGTGATTGGGGAGGCACTGACTTTAAAAGTCAGATTTACAATCATTATTCAAATAAAATAGCATTTAATCACCAATGCAATGACATCCACAAACTTTATATACTGTAAAGATAAGAGAACCAGCTTCTTTTAATAATCTCACAACAAATCTAGCTGCTGACTCTGCTCCGCATCAAACAACATCTTTAAGAAGCGCAGGTGCGAGAGACGCGAGGAGAGAGAGACGCGAGGAGAGAGGAGCAGAGAGAGACAGAGAGGAGCAGAGAGACGGAGACGCGAGGAGCAGAGAGAGACAGAGAGGAGCAGAGAGAGACGGAGACGCGAGGAGAGAGAGACGCGAGGAGAGAGGAGCAGAGAGAGACAGAGAGGAGCAGAGAGACGGAGACGCGAGGAGAGAGAGACGCGAGGAACATAAACAATAATTTAAACAAGTTGCAGAACTCTTGAGCAGTGTTTGAATCAGTGTTTTTCGGAAAAGCACTACTTTGCCGGTATCTGTCAATGTTCAACATAAAACACAGATTAACAAACTCCTCCCCCGCAGCCGGACTAACCTCGTAAGTCCAGTGGTGGTCTCCCAGTCTAT